AAATTGTAGTTTGCGCATCGACCGCTCTTAGGACAGCCTAGCGGGGAGGAGGGAGCGTACCCAGACAACGGTCGTTTGGTTATGCGGACAGCGATGCTTAGCATAGTCCTTTTAGTGCAACGTAAACTGATAATGTTGTGCAGATTTTTATTCATATTTCACTGAACTCCATTTTTGCAGAAAATAATAATCGGTCACCTTGATCGTGCCAGGTCAACAACAGACTGGATTAAGCAGAGGCAGTTCTCACAATGAAGTGCCACGGCGGCGTATCCACTGACGAAGATGAGTGCCTTTATAGCCTGAAAAAGAAAACTGTGTATGTGGATACAGGACGTCCAATTTTGAGTAATTTTAGGTCACAGGGTGCCGAATGTAGGCCATCGTGATAATCTGACAAAGACAGAGTGCTTGCGAGGAACCGGACATTTTAGGTGAAAAATATTGTAAGCGAGTTTTGTGCGAGATAAGGAGCTCCTTAAACAGCGACCAATGAGCTTGTTGATACATTTGGCTTGTCACCATTATTTGCTATGTAAACACCTGCGAGGACGTCAGATTGGAACAGCAAGCAAAACATGCAGCCTGTATTCCATCGAACAATCCGGCAAAATCGCTTAATGCCAATTCTATGGAACTTCAATCTTTCTTATTCTAAATGCACGACTTAAAACAATGCAAAAGGCCCGGTAAAAGTAGTAGTGCTACCTCATTAACCGTCAAATGGTCAAAAGCTGGTCTGTAAACCCAACGAGAAGCGCAGTATTACGCACATCTGAGACTAACGCTCGAACAATGGAGGGTAGAGCTCCTTCAAATAGGTAACTTGTACAACTTGGCTTGTTAAGTTGGTAGATTTGATCGGAGTTAATAAAAAGGACCGCCATGGGCATGTTTCTTAAAATATAACAATCTCCAAAACTATATGGTTTTGCGGCACTAACTGCTATATTTATGTCACTCATAGATGTTTTGGCAGATTTTGGATAATTCATATTGACACAACTGTGAAAAACTCGGCGCCTCGGTGGGATTCGAACCCACGCAGTAAGGGGAAGGCTTTAGTACAGCCAGCGCTCTAACCACTTGAGCTAAGAGTTCCCGCCGGACGACGCGAGGCGCCGAGTTTTTCACAGTTGGGTCAATATGATTTATGTCACTGACAAACTAAAGGAGATTACTTCCAGATACCATACGGGAAAGGGATGAAGCGTTCATTGAGAGAAATGTAGTTGTGGGTTGCAGTTTCAGGTAGCCGTTTCAAGTTCTCTCGTCAGAGACTGGAGAACAATTTGCAAAGTTATATTGCCTTCCGATTGTGTATCCCACCGTGAATACCAGCTGTAGATCACTCATTATCACCACCTCGGCCGTGGTTGTCTTCCTTCCTGCTCTCCTTGTATACCACCAGGGAGTGGCACGACCGGCTCGACTTCGCCGCGCGTTCGGCTTCATGTCAATTAGTGGCTTAAGGTCATGCAAGCAGCAGATCGTTGGGGGCTTGTTTGGCCGGCGATCTATACAAAAGGCACAACTCCTCAAGTCTTTCGACGGAGCTGTGCACAGTATTCTATACTTTCACTAATTCTTGGGAAGAAAACATCCCAAGGAGCTTCGTCTGTTAAAGATGAGGAAAAGTTTACATGACTAGAATTCAGACCGGTTCTCGCGTCTATCATCAGCTATTTGTGGGAATTACTAAGACAATTTAACACATGAAATAACCATTCGACCGTATCCTGCGATACTGTAAAATGGCCATATAGATCGCGATCTTAGTTACCAATCGGGCTGGAGGATGCGGTCAAGTTTCACGACCCATGACGAACACCCCGGCCAGCTGATGCTTGGACCGTCTCCTTCATGACTTCAGCTCCTCCATTTGGGTAATTGAGCTTGCGACTTGCAAAGCCAGAGCACAACCCCGTCACCAGCGGTTAGCGCCACCCCATCTACTGAGGTGCACTTCCATTCCTTCCCGTACGCCGTAAACAGTAACTGAAAGGTCACACTGGTATGCTAGGTACATATGTGCATCGTGCGTGATTCTGTGGACCCAAGAAGTGATTATGGGTTTTAGACAAGATGCTATCAATATTCACTTGCGAAAAATTTCACGGGCCATCAAAAGCCCAGAATCATATTCAGTAGCCGCCTAGTTAAAAAAACTGACAACAACAGCTAGCACAAAGGTTCCCGGCTTTTGATAGAGTGCACGAGGAAAGTCAGTCGTCGGAATAGCTAGTGGACTGAACTGAGCATTTGGATGCATACAGGAGTCAATCATCAATGACCGTGAAGAAACGAGAACATCTGGGTGATTTTTCGTACAAGTCGGTAAGGAGGTTTGGGATCATCGATAAACTTTATAAATAGTTTATGAATAGTAGGCTACCGTACACAATATTCTAACTAAGATGAAGAAATATGCACAATGTTCGACCCCGCCGTCTCCCTCTCTCCGGCACAAATGAATGGTTGTCCAAAGCTGGCTTAGTCCACCAACACTGTCTTCGATCTTAAGTTTTGAACTAGTTGTTCACATGTTCTTTGTGAAGAACATCTGCAACGTGCACAAATTGCATGGTATTGCTTACATTTCCAGACTTTATGGTGGCACTATAACGTCTGCACCCCGACATATGAACCGGCGTACTTATCTTCCTCTCCCAAAACAGCTTTTGCACTCTCATAGCCAGATGACAATCCAGTTCGCAGGCAAAGATGCTTGCAACCGACACCTAATAGGGCACTAAAAGCCGAACATCTGTTTGCGCGCCATTGTTGCCTCTGACATTGGACTGGCCCAGGGGATCCAGAGCTTGGACAAAAGGCCTATGCTGACTGATATGGCTACTGACCTCCATCCTGCTCTAAGACGTTCATAGTGAGGTGCCCATAATTTCCTATATTTTATCTGATGATAGGGATGTAGAGAACCTCGTCGATTGAAAGCGCTGGTATCGAATTGTGTGTGAAGCAATGAACGAAATGGATCGCAGAGCGTCGGGTTTAATCCTTTAGGTGGAAGTTAACGCCCCACTGGTTCTCACATATTCCGTGGCAGCAAGATTTCTTAACATTTTTCCAATAAGGTTACTAGCTGTTGCTTGGAGCGGCTCAGTTTACTTAGAAAAATAGACCAGCTCTCAAACACCGCGTCAATCGTGGGTCCTGATTATAATTGACTAAGTATTTAACGGAGTGAGGGGATATGCAAGCCAGGCAACCTCATGATATAGGGAATTGTGAGTCGACATCGGCAGAGGCAGGCGGATATCAGTCTCTGGTTAAAATGTTTGGAAATGGTTCTTTCGACAGAGCGAGGAGGTGTCGTTATGAGAGGTGAGACAGAAAACTTAACTTTCCTGCAAGCTTTTCGGTAATTTGTCGGAAGTTAATTCTGCCACTTAGTATATTGGGTGCAGGTTGCCTCCTTTAACGCCAGTGCATAAAAACGATCGCTGAAGTAGATCATGTCTGGTCCGGCATGATCGCTTTGCGTCCAGTGACTTCGTCCCTGGCCAAGTAATCACTCTCCTGCATTCAGGTAAACAACAACGATCTTTCCTGGAGACCCGATAGTTTGTTTTCGGGGTTAAGTAGTACCTCCGATCTTCACTACGAATGAGGATTCAATAAACCGTTAGCCGGTAAGTGGCTTAACTAGGACCTTATTTTGATCCTAGATCGAAAAAAACTTCCCTTCTTTCTTATTCAGGAAAGAATGGCGATGATTATTGTTGTTATCTTTTCTAAGAAAGGCATAGACGGTTGTTAATTCGTTAGTCTACTCGAACATCGAGTTGCTCAAAATACAGACCGGTGCGCCAATCAATAATGGGTGCTGCCTTGCGACTAACCGCAGACATATACCAGCCCTGTAGATGGATATAGTTAACGGAGGTGGCCTCAGAAAGAAACGTACCTGACCGACCGTTGGGATGCGGTTATTACAGCTCTGGTTTGATAGCAAGACAGTAGGAAGAGGAAGTTATAGAGGTGGAAGCACCGTTGGTCAGCTCGGGAGACATGAAAGGCGCTACCATGAGTATCGTGGTGTCACATCCGGATTTTAAAACCAACATTGAATAAAATAACCAAGCTGCTACTTTAGAACCCAGTCCCAGTTGTCGGGTGTTGCCCAGTGATAAGGTTATTAATTAAAAGCAACTGAGGGAACACATGACTGTTAGCTACTTGACGACTATTTGCATTGCATCCTCAATGGCACCATAACGTAGGGACAGATGAATTCGGCACCCGTTCTTTTACGTCAGGCTCTAACCAAGCCAGTCGCTCAACTCCAAAGCCTTGTAGCAGGCAAGAAAAAGAAGTGAGCTCAGAGAGGAGAGGTACGTATTGGCTGTTTCGTCAGGAAATCAACTGGGATCAAATCAAGGACACAGTGATCGCCTAGCGGTCGGCAATTGGGGCGACGCAAACGTCGAGTCCAACAGGGCTCACCTAAAAGAGAACTTCTATGTACAAAATACGATGACAAAAAATAACCGGCCGACTGTGCGCAGGAAGACAATCCATTAGGAGTGAGAAAAGGGGCGTTGGAAAGAGGGGTAAATGAAATCTAGCGACTATAATGCAGGGTAGAGCGTGAGATGGCACAAGGACAAACGCAAACAACTTTCTGATCTCACACGAATGTCGCCAAGAAGAGAGCAGGCAGACTAATTGGGCAGGAAAACTCCTATGCGGATAAGGCAGAAGGACTGTCAAATGAGGAAAGATAAGGGTAGTTTCTGATTCTGGCTAGTGTCTTTTCGTGTAATCTTCAAAGCTCGCGCCGTTACGACTGAAAACCAGTCTAGAGGTCAGAGAAACTAGGCAAAAGTAGAGAGCATGCGGCAAAGGAGGGAGGAAGACAATGTCTAATGGGATGGCGACAGGAAAAAAGTTCAGAAGACAATGAAAGGAGGCTGGAGCATTCGGAGGTATTCGCAGGCAACACACCCTAGCTGGGGTGAATACGAGTGCCCAAGTCCCTATGGACTTGCAGCTTCCTCATTGTTAGCATTGATTGAGACCATTTGGAGGCCCAGCTCTAGACGCTCTGTGTTCTCATCCACTTCGTCTTCGTCAAGCTGCGAGGGTGTGCTCGGACCAGACAAGTGGTTAGGACTAGAACGGCCAGAGGCGCTGGGTGATGGTGGCGCTGAGTAGGGTCGGTACATTCGGAAGCTCTTCTGGGAAGCAGTATCTGCGGCATTTTCATCAGATTTCGGAACTTCAAGTGTGAAAAGATCCGGACGTTGGCGGTAGAGGGCAATCAGTCTTGCTCGGGTGTAGTACTAAAACGTCATCAAAAAATAAGTAATAAGCTTATAAGTTGCCCAGGCCAAATATTAGAGCGGTGGTATGGTCGAGTGAGTATTTCGTAAATGATATATAATCTTAAATAGAGAGGGCTTTCACTATGTTCTGCGGCCAAGATTGTCTATGGAGGATTCGTACACATCCACGAAGCCCAAGGAGAATGTGCGTAGTCAAGAAGAGACGGCAGGAAAAATAACGTTCAAATTGAGTTTGAGGTCACTTTAATAGGATTCTCTATGCCTGCAGCCGGTGTTGAACCTTAAATAAACAGTAATTGGGAATGGGAAAATGGACCCAAAGAGCTTGAACAGTCTTTAAAGAATTCCGGACATCACCCCACGAACACTTTGGAAATCGAGACTGGCTTACGAAGAGATCAAACCCATAAAATAAGGTAGTATTAATACGGTTTTAATTTCAGAAACACAATGCCGAACAAGATGAAGTTAGCTGTACACGTTAAGTGAATATCCAGCTACACCGGCTCATAAGTTATCCTGTCAATGTCAGGGAGACGGGTTCTTGGGGAAGAGGGGCTCAAACAACTCTGGCTGCTGCCTACCCAGAGCATCTATAGATGACGGTCCTCAGCGAGGGTTTGCAGCTGGCTAGGCAGGTTCTCGGGTCTGACGGATAGGTTGTCGTGGACCAGCAGCGACAGTGCTACCAGGGCGCAGAGGGCTGTGGTCGTGAATTCCGTCTGCTCTACAAGATGCCTCAACGCACGATGACGGCGCTGTGACAAGGCGACCGTTAACCGCCATTAAACAAATTCTTTGTCCTTGGTGCCTTACCAGTAGGTTATTGAAACAAAGGGATAGAGAAGGCATTCCCGAATAAACAATCCGAACGGCTGTGGACGACCAGCCTGTGTTCAAAATTCTCAAGAAACCTCACTTGAAAATGCTCATTTTGAACACTACCATTCATGCTACGGCCACCATGGGAACTGACGCGCTTCACAACTCTGGTCCAGTGCTACAAGCAAACAGTATGCGAACTGGACCATTTAATCGAAAGCAGACCCTCAGTACTTAACGTCGAGAAGTGTGAACATTCCCTAACCCTGGCACAAAAAGTCTGACGATGAAGTTCTTAAAGTGGATGTCTGTTACCCGATAGAAGTCAAAATCGCCGACTTGGACCCTCCTATTTTATCCTCTGTCGCAGCGGCCCACGCGACCCCTCTGGCAGACAGGGTATGATGATGCTCCTTTTGCAGCAGGAGAACCCTGATTTATTTGTGTGGGGATCAGTTAATGACTGGCTAATTTAAGTGCAGCAGAAGGGGTAAATTGCAACCATCCTGTCTTCTCGGTGCACTTACCAATATCAGCTGATAACCTGCACGATAAATAAGCCCATTCAGGGCTGCGAGAACTGTTTGAAAGACTACCTCGCTGTGATATGCTAATGGTTGACAATGGCTGCAAGACCCTATCAAACCAAATGGCTCTTCATTTACCATGCTGGTCTCTGACCTTGTTTGTCGATGCCTCATTGATGAGAGAATGCTGAACGTAACGGATCCGTACCGGCTAGTTGACACCAAAACGTGCTTCCAGCACCACAGAAAACACCTGCGAGCTGGCATTCGGATAATGGCCGCCGGATCAATTAGACAAACCATGTTCTAGTCAGTTCAGGGTTTCGTAGCTAGATTCCTAATAGTAGATGGATAAGCAATGTCAAAAGAGGATAGGATACGTAAGCCCACTGAGAAAATAGAGCCCACGGACTCCTGTAATACGGGCGCTGATTAAATGATATAGTTGAGTAAGCATGGGGAAATGGGCTCTTTCCCACAAACTGCGACTCGGCAATCCTTACGTCCGACAGATAATACAAAGAGCAAGAACCACCACAGCATGAACCGCAGCGACGCTGCTACACAGGACTTCGTCGTTGTCATTCCTAGGCCACTTTAATGCACGTGACTGCGGAACGAGACCCAACCAAGTTGGGTTCTGAGCTGTATATGGATACGCTGGCCAGACGTGCACACTACGACGCATTCTTGAATTCCACCAACTAATGACCGTCTGCCTCGCTGACTTCATAGCAGTGTTCGAGTTCGTCCATCAGGAGTCCCTGTGACGGATGTTGACGCCAGACGGGCCGGCAAAAATGGCCGTAGTGATCAGGGTGTATCGTTGTCCCTACACTACGCGAGCTCTTATTCACAACAACCTCTCTCAGCCGTTCCATATCCGGGCTGGCATTCGACAATTCTTTTTCTCAGGTAGCCATCCCGTCCAATTATATCATTGACTGGATCCTCGGAAGGGTCCACACGCCTCTAACAATGTTGTACTTGCAACCGGGTGTCGGCTGACTGGTCACGACGATGCTGACGATACCGCCCTGTTGGCCTAAAAATATGAAGACTTACTGAATGTGGTGTCGCGTGTGAATGGAGTCATTAAATCAGTCATTTTATCGATCAAGGCTGAGAAAACAAAAGGGTTTTCGAACGTCATCTCTAAGCAGGGGTTAGTGGCTGTCAACTTGAAGAAGTAGACAGTTGTAAGTACCTCGCGGAGAGATTTCTGCCAAATAGGAGGAATATGAACGACACTGTCTCCCGAACGGATGATATGCGCAAGGTTTTCACAATCATTACAAACTGCCGATGGACCTGACGCGACATCTCCAGCGTCACAATGATCCGCGTGTATGGGACATCCGTCCGGTCATCCCTTCTCTAAGGTTATGAATGCTGGGCTGTGTGTGGAAGATGAGGGAAAACTGGACTTGGTTGATCACCGCTGCCTGATAACCATTCTTTGAGTAAAATACACCGAATTGGCTTTGAACGAGACAGGCCGCACAGTCTCAGGTCAGCCATAAAAGACGACTGGTGTGGTTTGGACGTGTTCTTTGTCGTCTGTCCTCAATCCGATGCTGTCGCCTACTTGGAGGCATCGAAGGAGATCTTAACTTAAAACGTGACCTGACACAGCTCGACAAGACATGAAAGTGGTTTTTGGACCTTCTGTATTCGGCCTATGTGGTTGGAGGAGAAAATGGGCCGAGCTCTCCAGATCCGCTGCAGAAGACCGTCACGCGTGGAGAGGTACGCTACGTGACATCACCTACGCCGGCTAGATCGAGCATGATCACAACCGTACAAGTATATGTGCAAGTTTTCGAGGCCAGAATGGTGTGAAGTTGCGCTTGAAAGTCACCATCGTTGGCCAAAGATGTCTCCAGCCATAAAATTACCTCATTCTCTTGAACAAGTAAGCGGATACAAAGATTGGTACAGCCTATGTTAGCTTCCGTCAACTGTAGTGCCAAAATGGCATCTGTTTAACTGTCAATCTGGGATGTCTACAACCCCCATTCGATCAGGAAGGCAACACCGATCAGAAAATGTGTTACGACGAGCAAAAAACAACAAATAGGCACTTATGACAAACGATGTTCGCAAATTAAGGCACGAACAAACCGGCACTGAGGAGGTGATCAGTTCACGAGACGACGGATTACCAGTATAATATAGCATCAGTGTTTCAACTCTGCATACTAGTGGTGATAAGCAACCCGCCTAAACTGGCTGGAAGGCTGAGGCGCGCACTCCCCCCTCCCTCTCCGTCGTGCCAAAATCCCAACGTGCAAAGTCTATGTGTTTTGCCACCTTTGCCTTATTCTTCATCAGTGACTTGTGGTTGGGGTTGATCAAATGCATCTGCACAACAGCTACGAGCAAGTTTAAAGCAGAAATCGGTCTTATGACAAATATAGTGTTTGCAGTTAAGCCATTTCATGCAATGAAGTGACGGATATTTCGGGAATAACTGGATTAAATCTCCAATTTTCATATCTAGTGTTTACAGAAGAGACCGTCAAAGGGCAGCCCGATGATTCATATTCAACCTGACAAAAAGATCGAATTTAAACCTCGACCAAAATTATGAAAGTCATAAAAAAATGGTCAACTTACCGTACTCAGGTTCTTCCAGTCCAGGAGTTCGCTTAGACGCTCCGTTCGATTGCGTAGGATCACGCGTTGTCGTCGAGAGTAATTGCAGAATTCAAACAAGTACTGGTAATGGAAAAAAAAGAAATGGGCAAACAGTGCATATATCCGCAGCAAATTTGCTCATATAAAAAGGGCCAAATGGACGGTGAGGGTGTGAAGGCCAGCGCCCCAAAAGATCAATGAGAAAATCATTACGGACGGTTTTACAATTTGTGATCTACCGACTTATCGATGTGCGCTTACTCAAAGCATTTGGTCGTCATTATCCTCATAGTCTTGCCCTTCACGCATGCAACTGAAAACTTGAAAGCTATGAGGACAATACGGAAATGTGGGCAGATCTTTAGTCTTAAGGCAAACGAATAAAGAATTGGTATCGTACCCTGGTTAGTTGCTCTACTGAGGCGTCTACATTCTGATAGCGGCGATCGACGATGTAAATGCCATAGGAAGAGGGGTCTTCGATGTGTTCCTCCATGAAGCATCCAAAGCCCGAAAGGTTGGTTGTGACCGATGGGATACCCATAACGGTACACTCCGCTGAATGAATAGAAAAGAGTGATAAAAAAAACTCCCCCACCTATAAACTGTTGAGGTTGGCTTGAAAATTTGTAGGGAATCGCTGAAAAACTATAGTAACATAAATTTTAGCAGTGGAAAGTTTGACCAGACGCTTTGACTGGTATACTGCCAGATGAAGGCAAGGGGTAGTCAGAATAGCAAATCCGATTTAGATTTATGCTGCATCAAGTGGCACGTGCTTTTTCCTACAAATTTAAAAAGTGAGCACCCCGATGGGTCTTCATTTTCGTCGAGAGCCGCACCGGTAGTCACGTAATCTTGCCTCACAGTGGCTCCGGGAAAGTTAAATCGACTGACCGCAGGTTAAGGCTTGTGCGTTTTATTTCAGTGCAAACCAAAGAAGTGCACTGTCGACAATAGATGGCAGAGTACTTTCCTTCGCCTGTTGATTTTTAGGGATTAGAATTACCAAAGCAGATAAATTAGGTGAGACAGAAAACAAAAAGGTGACTAACTCCTGCTTTTCTCACAATCTATTATAGCTTTTACTCAAAGGAGCAATGTTGTACGTCTTAGTAATTATCACAGAGAGTAAAACAGCTACAAAGACCAACCTGTGCACAGGTCTAAAATAGCCTTCACTGGAAAAGGCTTCTAGCAAGCTTTGTTAAAAATCAACATAAGGTGTTGAGACAGCATTGGGTGTTTCGTTTCTCTGCACAAGTTCTCTTCCCCCCGTAACTACCCTGCTAGAATGCCTATTAGTAATGAAGTCGGACTAACGGTGGTCGGGCAGGACAGGCAGACGTCTTGTTCTGTCTAGAGGACCGTGCTCACAATAGTTCATTTCTTTTGGGTCTTGATTTACACCGTAGATGTGAGCCAATAGACGACCGGGGTACATCAACCAACTATTCGGTCGCCAAACAAACATGCTGGTAAAGAGGTCATAGCTGCTACTTATTGGCACCAGCACAACACAAATCAAAAATGATTCGGGTCTGGTCAGCTTGCAAAGCCGACTAGTTAGCGTGCGGTTGCGTCATTTCAGCTTCTTATAAGATCAATGGAGCTGACGGCCGTTCGATTTCTTTTTTTTTCTATCCCTCTCTCCTTCTCTACACTGCTACACTCGTCAGTCCACCTGATTTCGTTTGCTAGAGACGTGTGCAGTAAGGGATTGACGATGGGCTTGCTCGATATGCCTTGTCAGATTAAGCGGATGAAGAGCTTGGCTCGGTCGACGAAATCAGGGATTATGACAACAGAAAGGACGGTCTGGGGCAGAAAAAGCTAAAAGAAGCAACATTTATAGGGACAGAGACGAATGACAGCTGGCAAATGGCCCACGTTAACCGGAATCACAACCCCAGGCTGGGGGCGGCTGTTTTAAACAGGCCTACCTGGTGTGTAGCCCCAAGGTTCGTAGTAGGAGGGGAAGACGCCCAAATGGCAACCACGGACAAATTCCTCGTAGTCCATTGGCAAAAGGGGGTTGGTTGAGCTGAGAAACTCCGGATGGAAAATTGCCTTAATAATTTTCAGAAAAAAAGACCCGTCTAATGAATGCGGGCGGCAGCAACAGCTAGGTTTGCTAACTTTAAAGACGGATTTTGTGTGGCAGGTGTGTAAATTTTCGAGAGAGGCAGGTGGAAGTTCTCTCGGGTTTATTAGTTTTGCTTGGTAAACCACCGGTGAGCCTAAGAAACCAAAGTACGTACTGCCCTGATTTTGTTGTCCAGATGGCTCTTGAAAAAATAAATCCGTTGATTAATAATTTTTAGCAAGTCACCATACGTCATGACAGAGGAAAGAAGTGGAAGAGCAAATGTTAGATGGATCAAAAGGTGGCACAAGCTTCGATGATTTCAGAAAAGGCGCCGTAAAGACTATGAAATCCGTCAACGGTTGCCGATTTGCGGAAAAAAGAGATTGGAAACACAACGCCCTAAACATCAATTCACTTACGCACTCAAACTGTGATGTTAGTCCATAAAGATCAAAAACCAACCTTGGTAGTTATGCGAAACGTCTGACCTACTAAGAAATTGCTTGTTTGCGGCATTGGTGAGGAGGCTAGTAATGCTTTTACACAAACTTCCTAATGAATTTGTACGTCTACGTTCGGACTGGAACAGACTGCGTAGAAAATTGTGGTGTTTAGTTGGAAAATGCGCTGCTGTCAATTAAATGGTATTCAGCGACCTGACAGAGAATGGGCATCGAAATTCGCGCCTAGACGACCGTGCCTTGTGAATTGTTCGACACAAAAAGAGTACTTTGTTTCGATGGAATTCTTTTCTGACGAACATAACAGTCAATTAAATCAGTTTGTCCATAAAACACTTTAACTTGCCAATCATTTTAGTGGACAATTGGAAATCGATGCCCCCTTTTTAGACAACTGATCACGTGGTCGGAAAAACATTAGCCTAGATGGGACCATAGGTTAGCTTACTTAGGCTATGGATTGGACTACGTGTTGTCAGATGAGACTTGCAAAGCGATACGACGATGACCGTTCCAGGGTGTCAGTTGGTGTCCATGGTTTCCTCCTGGCACTCCACAGGCACTTAACTGCATCAACGCACACAACAGTTGTCCCTGAGACGCGTTACCTTAAGGACAACTGGTGTAAAGTAAAGCACAGCCCATTATCTTACAGAAGCATGCGAGGACACAGCACTTTGTCTTTTCAAAATACAAAAACCTTTTGTCACTAGATTCCCGAAGCTGAACTGCATGGTGGACTCTTCCAAGTCTGTGACAAGAAACAAAATGCTGGGTCCTCGAGCATCATGAGTGGAAAAAGTGAAACAAAGGGGGTGAAATAAACATGCCTTCACACGATCGTAACGGTTGTTGAAGAGTCTGCATCTTCGGAGGTTGCATAGTACCAGGTCGATATTGTCCTGAACAATGTTGTGAGTGCAAATTGGAGGAAGGTTGTTGCGCTGGGTGGCATAAATGCAACGCTTCAGACGAACTATGTCTTCCTAAAACGGGTAGGGAAAATGCAGAGGAATGTGACGATCGGAATAGGAGAACAAGCCCAAATTGGACCAAGTCCACAAAACCCCGACAGCGAAAGCAAGGAAGTCAATATCAGCTAACGAAAGTTAGCTCACGAAATTTCAGGGAAAGGTCGGCCCCCAGACTCGCATACGGCATAACGAAGGCTGTTAGATTCTACGTAAGCCTCTTTTTTACGTCTTACAAAAGATTCCGACCCCCGTCGTAAGAAATGTAATAGCATTCAGTTGAAACAAGCCTTTAGGTAGCCAAATGAGGAGGCGATCGTCATTTGGTATTCCTGACAACTTCTGTTGCTGAAACCCTGATGCTAAGTTGGTTTTCTCGTTTATCTGCCATGCAATACTGAATGATGTCAATAAGTTGACATAGACTGCTGAAAAACCGAAGGCAAAGTTACCCCAGTCTTCTAGCAAGTCATTTTCTGACAAGAAATCTTTGCTAAAGCAAACATGAACAGGAATAATTACTAAACACGGCTTGAGGACGAAGATCGAGCGGTGGTGTGACCACTAGTCCACCAAACAATGCGTTAGAACGGACCCCAAGCTATAGCTTAGTCATAATTCTGAACTCTGCTAGATCGATCCACTGTGAGAACGACGATCAAAAGTAAACACAGGGAAAAGACAGAGTTGAAGTAAAATAAAAGGGGAAGAATTCAGCGTTATGGCCATTTTTCACCATTTCGCGTACTGCATGCAAGTAAAGGACGATTGAGCCGTGTCCAGAGTTACTAGCAGCCTAGACTTCCAAAATAAATCAGTGTCTATGTGACTAGGAAAAAATGTCTACCAAGTAAATAAGTCAGAATTGATATGCGGGTTGTCGAGGGAGGTAGGTCCCCCCCGCGAAGCATGCAAAATTGTGGAAATAATCTACCGCCCGAAAATCCTGTGCTGCCTTGACGCTCGCTCTTTTTCCCAACCAAACCAACCCGAGTACATAAACTTTGGTTGCGGATTGTTCTTTAATATTCATCTAGTCTGATGAATTTAGGAACTTATCCTTGTCTCGGGACATTCAGTTCCATGAAATCAAAAAGATAGCATTTTGCCTCACTACGGTTTGCATTCGAAAGAACTGGGCAACGGCTTTCGGAGGTTAGACGCTGAGATTAGGGCCTTCAATAAGTGACCGTGGTTACTAGTGGAGAGTAAATAAATAGGAAAATAATAAACTGAGTGCTTTCCCATTCAGGACTGAGGTATAGAAAAAAAGGGGCATAAACCTGAGTAAGGACGTCGGAGCCCTGAGGAACATGTCCACGCAAGCAGATTTCAAACAGACGATGACCCATATCCTTTTGGACATCATTCACGGTTTCACGCAGTTGTTTTACAATGGCTTGAGCACGGAAGGAGTCAACGTTGAAGCTATTGGTCGCCGCTGGGAAGATCAGAAAGGCAACGACAGTCACATCGCTCCCAGACTCCTAGAGGAGAAGACAGTACCGTAATAAAATCTGTGCCTGCTGGGAATAGAGGACTGAGATATTAGGGAAACTGTTTGCCCGGGAAAATTCAGTGTTAGTGGTTTAGCAGATGAAGTCGTCAATGGAGCGGTAAAAAACAGCGCGACAAAAAAGTTCACCGGCGAGAAAAAAACCAGCGAAAAAATAGTAAGGGATTTGTTACGGACGCAAATGCGGCAGAGTGCCAGATATGTCAACTCCTATGTTCCTGACTAAACTGCATTCCCTGTCTGACATGCGGAGAGGCCGGCTGAGGGGATATTAAAATGGTTAGGTACCTTTCGGGGTCCTTAAATAGAACCTGCAGGGAGGAGCGAATTCGAAGAAAAGGAAAGTCAGATGACGAAAGATAGTAAAAGGCGCACGCGTACGTGACTGAACGTTATGAACCAATCAGTGCTCTAGTTCTGCGCAAAATGCGCCAGCGACAGTCTACGCAGGACACAGTACAGGGGCAAGGACAACCGAAAGTGGGCAGCAGTCAGCTAAACCATCAACGAAGTCAGGACATTTGGGAAATGCAGTTTAATGGGCCTTTCAGACAACCGCAGACGGGCTAGTCTTCTGAAGGCGGTTAAATGAAAAAAGGACGACATTTATAGATCATGTAACTATTAACGGTTACAAATCTTGCCTGGATCCAAGTCAATAAAGCAATAAAAGACCGAAGCATAACCAATTATTAGCAGATCATTGACATTCATTACAAAACATCAGTACCCAACATGTCAACAAGAGCAAGGCCGAAGCCCTTCTATTAGCTTTTCCACGCAGCAAGCGAGGTATCTACCCGAATAGAAAGGACTCTTGAGATTACTTAATGCAGCCAAGAATGCGCCATTGGTGTAGACAAGACAGTGATTTGATGTTCAATGTAAGGTCAACGATGATGGTGAAATTACCCAGAGGGAAAATCGTTTGTAATCAAGCGGTAGTGAAGTAAAGTAAACAAAGCGCGAGTTGGGTCTCGCAATGCTGCTTTAAAAAAGTGAGCAGGCTAATAGAAACAATGAAGTAAGCAGCTAAAAGTACGCTCAGTTGCTGCCCATTTGCTCATTTGAAAGTCGGCGGCAAAGTTAGAATGCACTTGCTGCACGCTGTAGAGTGCACATAAATCGAAAACCCGGGACAAACGTGGCAATAAACTGCTTGCTAAAGGCCAAAAAGTATGTAACGCGCAGCATGTGCTGAACGCGCACGAAATGCTGTTCAAAATCTTCAGACCTAATTCTATAAAGGAAATTCTACTTGCCCAAGGGGGATTTACTAACAAGCATTGAGCGTACTATCAGAAAATCCCCCACGATGACTCACTGTCTTATCGAAAATTATCTAAGTTGCAAAAACCTAACTTAGGTACCAGGCACTTCCAAGTACTTTTCCACTGTTTGTCTGAAGGACAGAAAGGCATTAGTTGTTCGCATCCATTTTGTATGAAATTGTCAGGAAGGAATATCCTGTACTAAAATGCAAGCATCTTTTTAAAACACGAATGACATGGCAATGCATCCTCAATATGCATGTACTCAGGCAGCACTTTCAAAATTCCTTACAAGTCGCAATAAAAACCCCCCAATATCATGAAAACTTGTAACTGTAACGTTTCAAAAATCAGAGTATATGAGGCATGAAATTCAAGTGGCCAGAAAACCTACCGTTTGACAAGGCTCACTCCCACAAATATCCTACTTGTTTAAACTAAAAGCCACGCCAGTTCTACCTACTGTAGTCGCAATTTGCCTGGAAGAACTGGCATTGTTTGAATGCGGTGTCTGTGAACTTACTAATGGCAAATAATACGCACATGCAAGTGCAGCTCTTAAAAATTCCTAAATTCTCCAAGAAACGTTCCAAATATCAGAATACCAGTGCATCCACTTTTCGCAGCCGAGATTTGCATATCCGTAAAGGTTCTAGTCATTATCTAGATCCGGAAAACGAACCTTTACAGGACCACCGGTACCTTGTGAGGTAAATTGTCACCATGATTGGGAAGTTATTACCAAGGTAAAACCAAAATATGCTGGAGCAGTATCAACAGGTCACATGAGAAAATAAGTCATCACATAAGGTTGAGAAATGATCGCTGTCTTGCAGCATCAGTATGCATGTCTGGACAGTTAGTACTGAGATAAAAGCAATTCATATTGACTCAACTGTGAAAAACTCGGCGCCTCGGTTGGATTCGAACCCACACAGTAAGGGGAAGGCTAAGTACAGTCAACACTCTAACCACTTGAGCTACGAGACCCCGCCGGACGACGCGAGTCAAGTTACCCGCCCAACTTACTGCAACGTCTGGAATCCACCAAATCTGATACAGCAAGTTGACTGTCCAGGCAGGATTTCCTAAGTAACTCACCTAGAATCCACCAGATGACTACCAGACTTACGTAATTCATAGAAGCAATTAATAAACGCAATTAATGCGCAAACAAAAACACATGGAAATTTGGACTGTCCCAAAAGGCACTCAATACCACAAACGAAAAAAAAATGAAGCAAATAGTCAGTCATTCATCCTCAAAATGTTTTCTCTTACAGGTTATCTCAGGGAAAAATTGCATTAAAACAATCTGTCAACATATTAAAAAGTTCAGAATTTTGGAAAAGTAAACGAGTGAATTAACTGTCTGTGAAACTGAGCACTAATGGACCATCGAAGTGTTTTCCCGGAAATGTACACCAGGAGCCTTGTCGCTAAGTTGATCATGTCAGCACCAAAGCGGACATTTCAAAAAAGTAATTTTAACAGTCGCAGTGCAGAAGTCGTCTTTCACAAGTTTACAAGAAAATGAAATGGGTTTTGCGTTTCAAATGTCCAAACCATAAATAAGTAAGCAACAACATTTAGGAACCACTGGTCTGAACTCACTTTTAGCCTGTGGTTCAGACGAGCAAGTGCCTCGATGAACATGTCAGCACCTTTGTTCTGAAACTCGTACCGTCCGGCAATGAAGAAGTACAGAGTCTTATCCAGATCGAAGTCATAGTGTCTGGAATAGAACAAGGTAGAAAAATAAGGACTCCAAATATTCGATTCCTGTCGACTCAAAATAACTCTAGTATCAGGAAGCGAAGGCCAGCTTAAACAGACCTACCCATAAAAGTGGCCCTGGATGAACTGGTGCAGCTTTTGCTTCGCAATAGCATGGCGATTTTGAAATTCGTGTAGGGCGGCGAACTTGATCACATTGAGACCATTAGGAGTAATGATGTCTGGCTCACGTTGCAAGAGGTACTTGCTCTCAAGACCAGTGATCTTACTCACTGTCGTAAATGAATGGGCACAGTGTACGGCGGCTCGCTCAAGGCAGTACCTATGGTAAATATTTCGATCACCAGCTTCCTAGAAGTAAACAATTTGCCGAAATAGAAATACGGTTGCAATATCAACTATCAAGTTTAAACAAACCGATTTGAAGACTTCAAAGCAAGGTCCATAAAGTGCGAGTAAACTTAATCAAATCGTGAACTAAAAGCTCCAGGGTCCTATTTGAAGGGATTTAAAAGTGCAGCCAAAGTGCACAATCTTAACACAAATAAAATGTACTAAGGGAAAACTAACTTTATCCAAGTCGAATTTATCCAGGTTGTTATAGAGGTCGACGGAGCCAGCACACAGATACCGTCCAAGAAGAGTCGCATGTGTAGTAAACACTGTAGCGACATTAAGATGGCGCGTGCGAGTGAAGACTAGACCGGTTCCGGCTAACCATTCGTGGAAATGGGCAACGATAGGAATCTGTTCATCTGGATTCTCTGCGTCAAGTTCTTCCCTAAACTGAGAGGCAGGCAGATAATTGAGTTTGGCAGGAGTGATGGCGTAATGGTCAATGTGACCTAAACTTCCCGATGCAAAGCGGAAAAAGAAATGATGAAGTGCAATATATCGGGAATTGAAAATATGCGCTATGGAAATACGAAGTCCATTCGGTTAAAGAAGTAAATCTCTTTAACTTAAACCCCGACCCGAGATCTGTGAAAGGTAGATAGACACGAGAGGGCACTCAAATGCGCCAAAATGAAAGGCTGCTTGCTTAGGACAGGTCGGACTTTCCAATCAGTTGGGAGGCAAATAACGACAAAAATCTGAGAGGTCAAGTGCGTTTAGTTATTATAAGACCGGTACCAAACGTAATCTGTAGGACTTTGGAAGAAAACTGCTGTTAGTACTTATGGAATAGTTTAGAACTCCTAGAGGATGGGGCCCTACTTGAACATTTACACCCTCGCATTCGTGTAAATTTAGCAGAGGAAATATTTAAACAGTAAAAATATGTCTGCGACGTCTTTGGAGCCCACATCTCCTCAACGAGCTTTGAGTGCAATGACTGTACAAATCTCACAAAAATAGTATTCATCTAACGCATTATCAATTGAAGCGGCAAATGATATCAAGCATACCTCCTTCAGGAACCAAGCGACAAGAGCTCCAAAAATAAGGGAATCATTGCACTCAGTATCGTGAACTGGTATTCCAATATTGCAGTTATCCCAAAGTTCTTTTTTCCACGAGTCAATACGCCAAGCAGAAGAACCGATATCAAATAGGAGCACGTAGGGATAGCCTTCAATAAGCCATCGGCCGAACACCATCTATATCCACATGTTGCTTAAGAAAAAATTTAATACTTTAATGTCGTGTTCCCGGAGCTTTTGGAGAGCCTTTTTTAAAGGCTCGAAGGTTGGCTCGATGACGTCCACCTCAGTTCGCATACACACGTCGTTGAGGGGACCCATTAGAACATAACGATCCCCAAGTTCTTCAACGGTACTGGCCGCTTTTGTCCGAATAACGGTATAAATTCCACCCACTAGAGGGAAAAGAGGTCGTTAGCATGAGCTTTTGTAGTTTTCGTCCATTTGCTTTAACAGAATACTGACCTTTGTTAACAACCTCCCAGGCACACTCGAAGACAAATAACTTTTTAAAAACCTCATCTTCAATAGAGCGAGTAAGGCCGAGAATATCCGATGGTGGGCCGACGTCCTTGATAAAGCGGCCCACACTTGCGCGCCTGTGCATCGTTCGTACGACAGATAAGTGTTTTTTGGCTTTAGTTGCAAATGACTTGTACATATTCGTTGACGCCATAAAACAAAACACTGGTCATCGTATCGATCGATACATTGTTTTGAATTAAACTCGCAACTTCTCAGCAAATGAGCATATGTTTGTGCGGCCTTTTGCGTTTTTGTCTGGAAAAACGAAATGGAAGTTGCATTGTCAAATTTGATTAGGCCAGACGAGACTCCGTTTTTTACGCGTTCGAAATAATCTGCAAAACATGCAAGGCCTAGAACTGCTAAGTCAACCGAAATTTTTGTGGAACTTTTAAAAGAGGCCTGCGTAGATCTGGAACCCCATTGAGCGTTAAGATGTGTTTAGCAGGGATATATGGAGGTGTGCTGTAATGCAGTTAGTGCAGAGCGGCAACCTGGAAATTGCTGCAGGCAAGAAACGTTAGAAGAGAAAGACTGAAAAAAGCGGCATGCAACCGTAGGCAGAGCGATAAAAACCCAGGCTGGAAGAAGCGAAGGTGAATTGCGAAATGCCGGACAGGGGATGTAAAAAATGGCAACGATAAATATTTCTGACACCAACGGGAAGAAAACAACTCCAGTACTGGCAACAGTAGATCATATAGGAACGATTTAAACGAAGCCGGCATTTTGACCATAAGTAAGAACATCCGCGGTCACTTGTGTGCCTCAAATACAAAATGAATGCGGAGCAATACTTAACAGGTGCCCATGTTGCATACTCGCATTAGGAACACCGGGTATTACTTATCCTCTTCAGTATTCTGTGTGTTATGATGGAAGAGTTTACCCCTTAAATGTCAAGTAAACCAATACGATTAGCACGGTGGACTTCACAACAGACCCGCTAAAAAAAACTTTGAGCCAACTACAGCCCACTAAATCCCCTGGTCCGGACAGCGTGTTCGCAATGTCCTGAAAGAAACCTCAGACTAACTGGCCTCTCCGTTATCCAGAATCTTCAGAACTTCGATGGAGACCGGGGCTCTGCCTACCGACTGGAAGAAGGCAAATATAAGCCCCATATATAAAGGTGGCGTGAGAGCAACGCCAAAATAGTGGTAGACCAGTGAGACTCACAAGCATCTGTTGCAAACTAATGGAGAATCTACGTCATTTGATGACTTTCGGCTACTAAACACCCTACCCGCAGTTTCGAAAATCTTTGGGACATTTGTCGAAGAAAAGATGGTGTGTCACTTAACAGCGAATAACCTACTGAACGCTGCACAGCACGGATTCTTCAAAGCTCGGTCTTGTGACATCTGTCAGCTCCTTTTCTTCGATCACGTTCTTCAATATAGGGACAACGGTTTTGCACTTTACACAATCTATTTCGATTTCATTAAGGCTTTTGATCTTGTTGACCATGCTCTCCTTCTCTTGCAACTGTCCTATTTCGAACTCGATGGTGAACTTCTGAATTTTATATCCTCTTACCTGGGTGATTGCACACAACGGTTTAAAATTTCCAATGTTATCCCCAAACCCACATGTTAGAAGAGTGGAGTCATTCAACGCAATGTTCATGACCCGGTATTATCTTGTCTTTTGTTAGGAAGTACCAGATTTATTTCATAACGGTAAGCCCTTTATGCATGCCGATGATTTGAAACTTGCAGGTGGATGTAAGCCGGCAGATCGTTTTAATCCCGGAACACTGGAATTTTTCATACCAGCAACGTTGCCGACTTACAGCTGTTGATCCGTTCTGTTTTCGTAAATTACCAAAGGGACTGTTGTTGCTATTCGAGCTTTTATATAATCGTATCTTTAACCCGCTCACTACTTTAAATCCTCCTGTCCACACCCAACGTAACGGCCACCGCGAGGTCTTTTTATTTCTTCTTCTAACACGTGACGTTAAATGTCGTCGGTTCTTTTCTGTGAAAACAATTGCAACTTGGACTACGTTATCCAACAATGTGAGCATTATGCAAGATTACCCTTAGTTTAAGAGAACTACTACTCGTTTTTCCATTCAGAAAAACCCACAAATTTAGGGCGTCCAGTTTAGTTTATAGAGGGAAATAGGTCTAAGCATTTGAGTATCGTATTTACGACGTAAAACGGCGTAAGGAGTACCGAGAAATTAGCTGGCTGAAATAATTCAAAGCAGCTCCTAATAATGTGACAAAATGGGAGTGAGTCACAGGTGATGAGCTCGATCTTGCGCGCTTTTGGTCATTTCCGAGCACAAATATGTCGAGGTTCTTTTTAAAGCTTTGTATCGATGGTGACATCGTAACATATGCAGGTAGGGCACCCCATGGTTTGCCCACTCGGACAGAAAAGGAGAACTTCCGCACATCCAGTCTTGCCTGCTGAGTGCGCTGTTTTAAAGAGTGACCTCGTAGTTTGAACGTTGTAGCGAATTTGAAAACGTCCACATAGGCTAGGCTGCAGTCCACTGCCTTTACTATGCGAAATGCTTGCAAGAGATCCCCGAGAATTTGCCTATAGCACAAAGGGAAGAGATTCAGATTTACTAGGCGAATTGCATAGGAAAATGTGCGTTGACCCCTAGCCATCCTTATGGTTCTCCTCTGAATTGTTTCGAAGAAATTTTCGTCTTGAACTGCTCACGGTATCCAGGCTTGTGTGCCGTATTCCAAGTGCGGTCGCATGTATGTTCCGAATGTCTTTGAGAGGGCACCTTCTTTAAAATCCATAAACGCACGCTTGATGTCCTACAGTACGGACATTGTGCTTTTTACCTCTCTCGAACAATGAGCGGATTGTTTTAGTGTGTTCGTCGTCAGCACACCGAGGTCGTCTCGGGCCTCGAAGTCTCCTGATGCTGCACTGCCCAGAAAGTATTCTCTAGCACTGGGGGATCTGGCTGTGTTGCCTATATGAAGTATGCTACACTAACTAACGTTAAACCGCATGAGTCAGGGGTATGACCACTCCTCCAACCAATTTAAGCTCATCTGCAGTCTGTCTTCGTCGGCAGGGCTACAAATTACACCCCATATCTTCATGTCGTTTGCAGAAATTGCTATTCCGCAGTCCAGATCTCTTACACAATCGCCCACGTACATTAGAAACAAAATGAGTCCCAGTACTGAACTCTGGGGAATACCACTCTCGACCACATCAGGATCTTATTTGCCTTGACCAATGCAAACAGCCTGTTTTCGATCCATAAGGAAGTTTTCAATCCATTTAAATAAGTTGTCTCTGATCCGTATTTTTTCAGTTTGTGTTACAGTCTCTGGTGTGGCACGGTGTCGAATGCTTTCTAGAGGTCAATGAAGGCTATATGGACCGCGGGCCTGTCGTCAAGAGCTCGATCCAGCTCTGGAGAGATTGCAGCAAGTTTGTCTTGCAGGATCTTCCTTTCTGGAACCCATGTTGGCAGTTCGATAGCAAGTCATGAACTTTCAGGAAATACATCAATTCACTCTGCGTGGTCCTCTCCATAACTTTGCAGGGAATGTATGTCAACTTTATGGGCTTGTTATTTGTTGTCGTCATCCTGCTACCTCCTTTGTATAGCGGAGTAATGTGTGCCAGCTTTCAATCGGTAGGATGTGTCCCGGTAGCAAATGTGTTTGAAAGCGCATCGACAAAGGCAGAGAAAGCTCATTGGCAAGTTCTTTTAGAACCTTGGGTGGAATTTCATCTGATCCTGGCGACTTCGATTCGTTAAATGACTCTAAGCCTCTTCAGCCAATACCTTCTGAAAAGAATATATTATTCATGCTCGGAGTCGGCAATTTTTCTGTGGATTGTGGGAGGAACATCGCCCCATTTGTGTAGACTGTTTTGGAAAACTGAAAAATATGCAGCTTTGTCCCTGCTATCAGCAACCTCAACGCCATTGTTAGTCTTTATTATGGGGGTTTGATGTTTTTTCCTCGTACGTCTTCTGAGGTAGCTGTAGAGTAATTTTGGGTTCTATTTTGCCTTTTGTAGCAGTTTTCTCCCAAATTCTTTATGCGTCCTTATAGTCATGCTTCTCAGTTTGCTTGTGAGTGTCGAAGTTCTCACCTTGCCCTTGTGGCGGTCAAGGATGTGAGATCAACTTAAATCACGCACAATAAGTTCGTTTCATCTAATGTCAGAAGTCAGGGAGCTGTAAGGACTACTTTATTCTGTACACAGGGCAGGTTGCTGTAATTTGGCTGTTTGCTTGCAAGAGAGATATGCATCCGTTCACGGAGCGCGTCAGTCGCGGTGTGTAGCTTACGCGTGTGGGAAAGTCTGTATCAGTAGGTGGAGATGAATGGCTGAGTGCTGGTCTTGAGATCGGACGAATAAGGGGAGGATAAGGGTGACGCATAATCACAGGGGCTCACGGGTATCAAGCCAAGTCGTCCGACGCGCGTGAGGTGATGATAATTTGTGAGGGTAGCCGGAGTCATTGCGGCTGGAAAGGAGTGGCCCCAGTTCTAGCCGGCGGGGGTGATGGTGTGTCAGCGGCCTGGCAACGATTGTCCAAGCTATCGACCGACAAAACGGAGCAGGAGAAAAGGGGAACTGGAGCGGCTACTACACTCTGTGACGCAGTATTTTTTCCACAAAATGTGCTTCCTGTTAATTTCTTTCATAAGGTTGCCATTTAGTCACCCAAGCCGCTTGTTCTGTCTTACACTCGCCAGCGGGCTGTGGTTGTTATTGAGCTGCAGAATGGCGCTCTTATACAACTCCCAGTCATTGTTGGCACCGCCCGTAAACGTTGAAAATTATATATAATGCCAGTTTACAGGCATTGTCAGGGAAGAGTTAAACACAAATCCGGCTAGCAGTGAAAAAAACTCCTGCGGAAAAGGAATAAAAATATAGATGACGGTGGTTTTTATGGTTTGAAAGGTTCAGGGGAAAAAAACTGCTGACGACAAACTTTCGACAGTCAAGAAGGGAGGGGTTGCACGGTATCGGATATAATCAGTCGCCAATTCCTTTCATCCAGAAGAGCCGAAAAACAGCTGTCGCTGTTGGCCAAAGAAATAGTCCCTGGTGAGACCGGCCACAGTG